CGCGGTTCGATCATTGGCAGTATTTGTGTGACTCTCGGTTCACGTTCATGTCTTGAGAAGCCAAAGCCAAGGTCAAAGTGAAACTCACCCTCTCTCACACATTCTTCATCTGTCTCCCCCAACCCCCTGCTTTTATGAGATTTCTCATCTATACCTTCTCTCATTTTGCTCTTGTTAAACGGTGCCCGTGGAGGGACAGAGGGAGGAGAAGAACGAGAGGCACATTTGGGGGATTCACTCCATTCAGTGGGAGGAATGGGCAATAAAATCTGCCCCGTTTTAGCTGTTTTTCTCTCACTTTTTACAAGTGGAGAGTGAGAGACAGCTGGTGCTGGTGTGAATGGCTGGCCAAGGTGACTCTCCCAATAAAGAGCCGGTCAGCCAAGCCTCGGGCTTTGGTCAGACCACAGACGGGCTTTACGGGGGATCTCGAGGCTGGACCTCTAGTAAAAAGCCAGTCATCCAGGCCGGAGGAATTTAGGGTCCAGGAAACGAGAGCATGAGGGGGGAAAGGGTGTCTAGAGGTGAAAGTTGAGCCGAGTGACAGCGTGGACTTACACAAACTATACAGCACTGGATTCACACGGCGGTGTTTAAACTGGGCAAAGCGTGTTATGTTCGATGTTTGCGCCTGTATGGCTGCTTTCCAGGATGTTTTCTGAAACTGACTGGTGCCATTTGGGCGCGTGACAGCGAGATGAACACATGCTGTGTCAGTCAAAGCATATTTATTCATCCAGTAGCACTTTACAAAAGGGTTTCCATTGGTAACATTGCTACATTGCTACGAACAAACAATGATCAATTGTATTTTTATTAACTATAACATATTAGGGGTGTAACGGTACAGAAGTCACGGTTCGATACAGCAGGAAAAGCTCATTCGTCTGTCGTGTTAGTTCATTTTTCTCCACTCTCTTCTCTTTCAGCACTCAATGTGCTCTCATAATATTTGTCTTTTAGCTCTGACCCCTGGACAGAGGCTTCCTAATGCATTTGACAACTTCATCCTTATTCTCTTACATTCTTGATAAATGAAAGAGGACATATTATTGCCCTTTTTTAAAGTCTTGATGTTGTTTTTGGGCTCTACTAAAACAGGTTTTCATGCTTGAATGTTCAAAACCACATTACTTCCTAATATTTAACATTGTTGCACATAATCTCTTCCTAGTCTGGGGTGTGTTTCCCGAAAGCATCGCTAGCCAACGGTCGCAAGTTCCGTCGTTATCAGCAGTTCAACGAGTCTGTGTTTCCCGAAACCATATTTCCAACGAGCATTCGCAAACAGCATCGCAAAGTTGTGTGTTTGGAACGACAGCTCTCGACCCGTGGTTAGAAGTAGTTTCTAGTTTGCATGACATGTGGACTTACATAGATCATGCTCTTGGGCAAAATAAGCAAGCTGACATTCAGTACAATCCAGTGTTGTAGTCGAGTCACCAACTGTCGAGTCCGAGTCGAGTCTCGAGTCCCAGTGTTCGAGTCCGAGTCCAAGTCCGAGTCACCAAAGAAGAGTCCGAGTCGAGTCTCGAGTCCCAGTGTTCGAGTCCGAGTCCAAGTCCGAGTCACCAAAGAAGAGTCCGAGTCGAGTCCAAGTCGAGTCACCATTACCGGAGTTCAAGTCCGAGTCGAGTCTCGAGTCCTGTGTTCGAGTCGAAATTATATTCACTTAAGCCAAATCAAGCAACATTTTTCAGGCACTCTTTCTTGCAGCTAGAAATGTGTATGATATCACTAGAATTGCCTTTGACCTTAGTTCAAATCATTGTAGCTGTGACACGATTAGCCTATATTTATTTAATTGTTTAAATACATTTTTGGATGATCAGTCATCTGGAATGGATAAAGAAAACAAAAAAGAAAGCCTAACTGGACAAAGGAGGTGAAATGCATTCTTCTTGACGAATATGGTTAAAAGAAAAACAATTTTGAAATTTTGAAAAGCAAACTAAATCCAAATGTAACTGCGCCAAAAAAAAACAGAAAATGCAGTGCTATAAGCAGTTGTAACTCCGCAGGAAAAGAGTGGTTGCGATGTGTGACATAGTCGAGGTCGCCGTCTAGTTTGTTAGCTAAAATAAACATAATTGTGTTATTGTATGATAAGCGGGATTAAGTGCTGAGCGCGTCCGACTTTGGCTCAGTGCCAGCCATAGCACGAAAGCACAGTTTAAATCTGGCAGTTATGTCACGTCAACGTCACTGTACATTCGCTCCCTAGTGGTCAGCTCAGCTGCTGCAAAGCGTGCCCAAATCGAAATTGCTGATTAGATGTAGAGGAATTTATCTAGTGTTAAATGAGTGTTACGTTATCTCTCTCACGAGAATGCAGCGTAAAGTGAGTGACGTCAGTGAGTGTGTTGTCAAGCAAGGAGAGCGAGCAGTAGCAGTGTCTGTGAGGGAAAAAATAGATCACGGCCGGTCTTGGACCCCGAAACAGGAAAAGTGTAACATCTTATATCAAATTTTTATAACCTATTTAGTCAGAAACGACGTCATTCATTTGATGAATGCTCAAGTCCGATTTTATATATCCAGAGAATAAGGACTCGAGTCCGAGTCCAGGACTCGAGTACTCCATCACTGGTACAATCTAGCCTATATATTATATTTTGAATATAAACACATTTAAATGACATCCTTTAGTTTGTCAAGAGATTTAAAGTGTCATTTTTGAAGAGTGCGCATGTGCGAATGTGCTCTATATGTAAGAACGAGCCTATGATTGAATCTGGAAATAAAGCAAAATAACTGAAAAAAATGATAATTAGTCCTCAGATGCCATGTCTGTAATTTATAGCAAAAGTCAGGCTTTAATTTGATCTCAAACAGATTCATTGAAATAAGTTATTACTCCACCACCTGCGTCATTAACATCATTAACCAGTGGTTGAACGACTAATTTGCGACAATACAGTCTCGGAAAACAGCTCGTTTACTAGTTGGTTTCTTCGACGATGCATCTACTAGTTTAGTTTAGTTTAGTTTAGTTCCTTTATTGTCCACAAGTGGAAATTTGTCTTTGGCTTCACTATACACCACACACAAGGACATCACAAAAACATAAAAAATATACACAAAATAAAAACAGTAACATTCCCATGCAGCTATACATAGCTTACATATCCAGCCTACTCATGTTCATATCTTCTCAGCATTTAAAATTCGAATAGCAGTTGGCACAAATGACATCTGGTACACATTTTTACTCGCCCTAGGTTGTCTAAACCTTCTCCTCGATGGAAGCAACTGAAAGCTAGAGTGTAAGGGATGAGAGGAGTCCTCTATAATAACCCATGCCTTTTCTTTAACTTTCAATAAATATATCTCATTCAATTGTCTTTGTGTCTACGATTGCGCTAGCTACGTTAACCACCCTAGACAATTTCTGCTTGGATTTAACAGTCAGAACTCCATACCACATAGTCATATTAAACGACATAATACTCTCTACAAGATTCTTATAAACCATTTCTAAAATATTTTTGCTCACACCAAAGTGTTTTAGCCTCCGAATAAGATGCAATCTCTGCATTGCCTTTTTAAAAACATGATCCACATTTCCAGCGAAACTCAAGTTACTATCTATGAATGTTCCCAGGTATTTGAAACTATTAACTATTTCTACCTGGTATCCATTGAGTGTCAATGGTTGCAATTGTTCAGAGATTTCACATTTGTTTCTACTAATCACTAATTCCTTAGTTTTGTGCAAATTTATCTCAAGTGCACTCAGTTTGCACCATTTTTGTATGGAATTTATATAATTATGATACAATTTATCTCTTTCGGTTCCACCTTTGTACAAGAGGCCGACAAGTGCCAAATCGTCAGCGTATTTAAGTAGACTAAAATATGAGTTGTGAATTTTAAATTCATTTATGTACAGTGAGAATAATAGAGGAGATAATATAGTTCCCTGTGGTACTCATGTGTTTAAAACAATTGTTTTTGAAACTTTATCATTAAGGAAAACTCTTTGAGGACGATTCAAAAGAAAGTCTCTAATCCACCAGATAAGTCCACCATTCACTCTTAAATCAAGTAATCTCTGTAAAAGAACATCTATCTTAATTGAGTTAAATGCTGAACTAAAATCTATAAATAAAATTCTAGCATAGTTTGTGGTCTGTTGAATATGTTCGGACACTAAATTGCATAAGGTTAAAGTGGCATCATCAGTGCCCCTAGCTGTCTTATAAGCAAACTGCAAGGGGTCTAAATATTTATTTACATCAGTAAATGGTATGGTAGTTAAGCATACTATGGTAGTTAAGCAGAGAGTTACGTTGTTGTACGGGAAACGCACCCCAGGTTAGTTCCTGTCTCTATGAAGCCCCTCCTTCTGAAAAGCACACTGTGCTCTGATTGGTCGGCTGGAGAAGTGTGTTGGGATTGGTCGAGCGCTTCGAGCGTTTTTGGGAAATGTCCCGCCCCTTTCCATAACCGCCAGTTTCAACACACTACTAACTAACTCAACCAGGCCCCGCCCCTTTATTCTGCGTATGAATTATTTAAATGAGGAATATTGTGACGTGTTCGTTCCCGGGAGAAACTCAAGACATTTCGGGAGTTCAGAAACACTGACACTGATATAGAGAAGAACTCCCGCTGGAGGGACTTTGTGCTTTGTAACTTTGCAGAGCTTTTTCATGCTTAAACAAGCAACATTACACACTAAAGAAAAGTTAAACATGAAAAAAAAGCATAATAGGTCCCTTTAATATTCTTTAAAATGGCAACTCACCTGAATTCAACTCATTATTTTCGACGATGCACCAAATAATGTTATATAATCAAGAATGCACCATAAACTCACCAATCAAAAATATGTGAAGGTGAAAGTGGCTTTGTTGTTTATGTTTTAAAGAGTGGTGAAGTGATGTTTGCCAGTTAAAAACTTGCCTGTAGGGCTTGAGGATTTGAAACACCAATAGAGATTCTTATCTTAGTAATCATCTCTAAATATCTTGTCCTTTTCTTCCTGATGTCTGCAGCGGTGGAGACCCAGAGCACAAGCTCAGAGGAGATGGTTCCCAGTTCTCCTTCTCCACCTCCTCCTCCTCGCATCTATAAACCCTGCTTTGTGTGCCAGGACAAATCCTCTGGCTATCATTATGGAGTGAGCTCTTGTGAGGGCTGCAAGGTACACACTCTCAGAACTTCAGACAGGGTTCCCATCACCAGATCATTTTGTGAATTTCATTTGTGATTCATTTGTTTTCATTTTTAACATTAATCTGTTTTAATTAAACTTTATAAATTAATCAGCTCGTAAACATACTTTATCGCTAGAAAAAAAAGTTACCCGTTAAACATCAAGTTATTTCTCCTTATTTAGAACCTTTTGGTATTAAGGGTTCTTTCATTTTGAGTAAAGAACTCTAGGATTCTATTTAGAACCCAAGTGAAAAAAACATTGGACCAAAAATAGTTTTTCTCAAATTTTTTATATATATGGTTTGTTTCAAACCTTAAATTTTAATGTGAACATTAATAAAAAATGCTATTTCTTTTCACAAAGACATTCATAAAAAAAGTAAAAATATTATTTATTATAAAGACCATATCATACTTAATCAATATATTTTCTTTAGACAGAAGGCAAAATGTTAATGTAGGTCAATATAATTATTTTTTGGCTTTTTACAACGTAATTTAACCATAAACAAAAGCTAAATTAGCTATATATGAAACTTATGTTAAAACTAAAAACATTTTGTTAGTCAAAGTTTAATTTAGTTTACTTGCTATAAATAAAGATAACTCAGAAAGATATTTTTAAATACGCATCAAATGTTCTGTTATGTACCTTAAAAAAAAGAATTTCTGTTACCAATGTTAAACAAAATTGTTTATTTCAATTTTTCAAACTGACCAAAACTGGTTTAAAAAACATGGTTTTTGATAAGACCAATATTAAAATGCACTTCAAAATAAATTACACATTCACAAATCAAAACCTGAGAATGGTTAATTATGTTAGAATCCCATATTGGCAAAAAGATTTGCCAATATGGCAAAAGAGGGTCAAATACAGCATACCATGAAGACAAATAAGACAGTTCTATTACACTGTGTTTACACTATAACAGCACATGATGCATAACAGAAGGAAAGGTCATGGTTTGAGTGCTGCCATCTAGTGCTACTGTGAAGTGGAAGAACGTTGATGTCATTCACACACATCTATAGTGTCCTCTGCTGACCGCTCTCATACACACATCTATAGTGTCCTCTGCTGACCGCTCTCATACACACTTCTATAGTGTCCTCTGCTGACCGCTCTCATACACACATCCCATACACACATCTATAGTGTCCTCTGCTGACCGCTCTCATACACACATCTATAGTGTCCTCTGCTGACCGCTCTCATACACACATCTATAGTGTCCTCTGCTGACCGCTCTCATACACACATCTATAGTGTCCTCTGCTGACCGCTCTCATACACACATCTATAGAGTCCTCTGCTGACCGCTCTCATACACACATCTCATACACACATCTATAGTGTCCTCTGCTGACCGCTCTCATACACACATCTATAGTGTCCTCTGCTGACCGCTCTCATACACACATCTATAGTGTCCTCTGCTGACCGCTCTCATACACACATCTCATACACACATCTATAGTGTCCTCTGCTGACCGCTCTCATACACACATCCCATACACACATCTATAGTGTCCTCTGCTGACCGCTCTCATACACACATCCCATACACACATCTATAGTGTCCTCTGCTGACCGCTCTCATACACACATCTATAGTGTCCTCTGCTGACCGCTCTCATACACACATCTATAGTGTCCTCTGCTGACCGCTCTCATACACACATCTATAGTGTCCTCTGCTGACCGCTCTCATACACACATCTATAGAGTCCTCTGCTGACCGCTCTCATACACACATCTATAGTGTCCTCTGCTGACCGCTCTCATACACACATCCCATACACACATCTATAGTGTCCTCTGCTGACCGCTCTCATACACACATCTATAGTGTCCTCTGCTGACCGCTCTCATACACACATCTATAGTGTCCTCTGCTGACCGCTCTCATACACACATCTATAGTGTCCTCTGCTGACCGCTCTCATACACACATCTATAGAGTCCTCTGCTGACCGCTCTCATACACACATCTATAGTGTCCTCTGCTGACCGCTCTCATACACACATCCCATACACACATCTATAGTGTCCTCTGCTGACCGCTCTCATACACACATCTATAGTGTCCTCTGCTGACCGCTCTCATACACACATCTATAGTGTCCTCTGCTGACCGCTCTCATACACACATCTATAGTGTCCTCTGCTGACCGCTCTCATACACACATCTCATACACACATCTATAGTGTCCTCTGCTGACCGCTCTCATACACACATCTCATACACACATCTATAGTGTCCTCTGCTGACCGCTCTCATACACACATCTCATACACACATCTATAGTGTCCTCTGCTGACCGCTCTCATACACACATCTCATACACACATCTATAGTGTCCTCTGCTGACCGCTCTCATACACACATCTCATACACACATCTATAGTGTCCTCTGCTGACCGCTCTCATACACACATCTCATACACACATCTATAGTGTCCTCTGCTGACCGCTCTCATACACACATCTATAGTGTTCTCTGCTGACCGCTCTCATACACACATCTATAGTGTCCTCTGCTGACCGCTCTCATACACACATCTATAGTGTCCTCTGCTGACCGCTTTCATACACACATCTATAGTGTCCTCTGCTGACCGCTCTCATACACACATCTATAGTGTCCTCTGCTGACCGCTTTCATACACACATCTATAGTGTCCTCTGCTGACCGCTCTCATACACACATCTATAGTGTTCTCTGCTGACCGCTCTCATACACACATCTAAAGTGTCCTCTGCTGACCGCTCTCATACACACATCTCATACACACATCTATAGTGTCCTCTGCTGACCGCTCTCATACACACATCTCATACACACATCTAAAGTGTCCTCTGCTGACCGCTCTCATACACACATCTCATACACACATCTATAGTGTCCTCTGCTGACCGCTCTCATACACACATCTCATACACACATCTATAGTGTCCTCTGCTGACCGCTCTCATACACACATCTCATACACACATCTATAGTGTCCTCTGCTGACCGCTCTCATACACACATCTCATACACACATCTATAGTGTCCTCTGCTGACCGCTTTCATACACACATCTATAGTGTCCTCTGCTGACCGCTCTCATACACACATCTCAAACACACATCTATAGTGTCCTCTGCTGACCGCTCTGGGGAAGTTCATCAAATCTGCTCACTATTAGACATAAGATTTTGAGTTATTGTCATGACATCAGCTCCATGTAAATCACAAAGGATTCAAACTTCTTGAATCGTAAATACTTATATTTCTTCGTCTCTCTCTTTCTCTTCTCTCTCTCAGGGTTTTTTCCGCCGCAGTATCCAGAAGAACATGGTGTACACCTGTCACAGAGACAAGAACTGCCAGATCAACAAGGTGACGCGTAACCGCTGTCAGTACTGCCGACTGCAGAAGTGCTTCGAGGTCGGCATGTCGAAGGAAGGTAAACCTCAGAGCAGTTTACATCGACTTTACACTTTCACAACACTGATGAAGACAGAGTACAGTCAGTCCACAAGTCTATGACTGTATGTCTTGAAGAAAACTGCACTCAACTCCAAGAGTCTCCTCAAGATCAACTCACTGCTCGTTCCAACATGTGTCTTTTTATATACCGTATATTCAATTTGTGTTTGAACACTCATATTCTTTTTTGGTTGTTCTTCTTCTTTTAGCAGTGCGGAACGACAGGAATAAGAAAAAGAAGGACGTAAAAGAGGAGGTGGTTCTTCCAGAAAGCTATGAGCTGAGTGGAGAACTGGAAGAACTGGTTAATAAAGTCAGCAAAGCGCACAGGGAAACCTTCCCTTCGCTCTGTCAGCTGGGGAAATACACGACTGTGAGTCCTGAGTCCCTTCATCCTCACACACCTCCTCCTGTCTGGCAGATTAATAAACACTGCGGGAGATCACGCCAAGCGCACAATATTTCACAACATTACACATACACATCCGCTAACCACAGCAAAAATAAAGAGTGTTTTTTTATTAAGAGACAGAGACTCCACTTTTTTGTTAACATCAAGATTTTGGTTAACATTTTTATGAATGAATAATGGGTATCTTTGATGCAGTTCACTTCAATTCTGTGTGACAAATGAATTATTTAGAAAGTCACTTAAAGGGTCACTTCACCCATTTCAACATTAATCTTTATTGAAAGTGGGTCATATATGTAGTCGAAATGTAAAAGAAATTTTGAATTTGATGCCCTCTTGACCGAGAAAAGACAGAAAATAACTTTAGTGCGCATTTGTATGCAAGACAACAACTCCCACAATGCACCACATTGCACAGCTCCGCAAGCCACTCCCACTAATCCAGAACAGCGCAAACATCAGAGAAATCACTTTTCCGTCTACAAGGCTAACGTTAGCTGCCACCAGAGTTAGAAATTCATTTCACACAAAATTTCTAGTTAGTTGGCTGTGGCGAGCAGGACGAGGGCGAGGGATGTGATAGGACAGCGCGAGGCCGGTGGCGCGAGTGATAATGAACGACAGCTGTGAGACGCACCGGTCTCTCTCGCGTCTCTCACCGAGGAGCGGACGCATAAAACGAGGAGCGACGACAGGGCAGATCGAGTGAGGAACAGGCCTGATTTTATGTTGTGTTTTGTTTCTGTTGTGTGTGGCCAGCAGTGAGGGGCTGCTCGCTTATATTTTTGTTTTGTATTTGTTTATTTTACTATTAAAATGTTTAAATGTTTGCCGGTTCCCGCCTCATTCTTCCCACAACAACGAACCCCGTTACATTGGCAAACTCATTAGTGAATTACTCCTCGTTTGTATTTCTTTCTATATGGTGAATTATTGCATGATGATGATAAAGTTACCTGGATGTTCAGTCAGAACATATGCGGTGCGAAACTTGGATGGATCACAACACAAACGTCCGTGTGCTCGTCTGATTCAGAGGTTTCGTCCAGGTGATATTGCGATCGTTGAAATTCTCTGCAGCAGACGGACTCTATCTGTGTCCGTAGCGCACAGCGAGAGCCGAGAGCACGACATGTAGGCACCAGCAGTCCGCCCAGCTCGAGCCAGTCCGGGCTTCTCGTCTGCGCCGGGCTGGTCTCCTGTGGCGGCCGCTGCCGCAGCCGACGCCGCCGCCTCTTGTTCCTCCATCAGCCTCAGCTGCTCTTCGCTATATTGTGGCTCGTATAAATAGCCACGAACATCAGTTTCGAGCAAAAGATTTTCAAAATCCTCGTCTTCCATATCGTGTGTCGTAAATTCAGGCATTATGGTAAATCTAACTCCTTGAGCGCTTGTTAGCTTAGCTTGCTGTCTTCCAAGCAAGATGGCGGATTAATAGTTTAGTTTCTTCAGGTTTAGTCCCACCCACTGATCTGTAATAGGCCGGTGGGGTGAGTGGGTCCCACGCCCTTGAATAATAATGAGCTAAAGGCTGTAGTTTTCTTAATATGCAATGAAATTTATCTTCCGTCCTATCGTGACGCAAAATGACGATATTTACGTCACGATAGGACGGAAGTAAAACACTTAAATCCTTTTTTCTCCCATCTCAGAAAAAAAACAAGCAAAATTCCACCATCATTATAATATATGACTGGGTTTCTAACAATACAAACCTTAATGCAAATGGGTGAAGTGACCCTTTAAATATTATGAGGTCATAGATAGACTAGAATTACTAGAATTACAAATCTGTACAAAT